CGGAAGAGAAAATATTTGAGTGACAAAAAGTCTGGGAAGAGTCCTCTCTCTTATTAAAAATTTGCATGGATTGAACAACCCTGGGTGGAAGGCCTGTCATTATCCTCTTATGAAAACTTTTAAGATGGGCTTCCAATATCTTTTGTTTGCTGGGAGAAATGAAGGAAATTTCTTTAGAGGTATTCAGGCAGTAGTCTCCCTTCACCAATGGTGCCAAATCTATGTAGTTCATTTGTCTGTGGGATTTCTCAGAAAGAGGAACTTTCTCTTTTACAGAGTGCTTTAATTTCATCCCTGAAGCCCTTGAATTATTCTGTGATAGACTCACTGTGCAACTTTCTAGGTCCTTCTCAGAGTCTGACACCAGGTTACGACCTGACAACCTTTCTGAGTCACTCAATGAATAGTCATTTGGGCCATCCTCTGTGCTCTGTTCCTGATCCTTTCCCATAGACTTCCCTAGCAGAAGAATTTCTGAGCTCTTTCTGCGAAAGCTTCCAGGTTTATTCACTCCAAAATTGTTTGGCTCTTTGCTGTGATTCTTATAGAAAGGGATCCATGAGAGTCCATAACTGCTTTTTGACTCAGGTGTCTCAAGAGTTTCTGTCTGAGGAGCCATCATTTTCAGAGAATCACTGACTCTTTGGGGCAGGCCCCATCGGTGTTGGATGAGCCTCTTCCGAAGGTGGTGCTCTAGTTTTTTCCGAAACTCACTGTTGAGGGGAGAATCTCCAAGAAGGATGGAGACTGGGACATGGGCCTTAGATGACTGGCTGGCCAATGGAGGGTTGGGAGCTGGAGGACAAAAGTCTTTTTGAGATCTTTGGACCACAGAAGGTAAACCCCACACATGTTCCTGTTTTTTCTTTAACATGTTCCATTCCAGGTGGTCAATTTCAGATGGTGAAAGAGACCATGCCTCATTCTGGGGTCTCTGAAAACATATTCTACATATCCTAATCTGAGAGAGAGAGGAAGGGCACAAAACTGGAACTGGAGATTGAAGGTGAGCCTGGTACTGGGCCTGAGTGAGATGTTTCAACTTGTCTTGGGACAGAGTTAGATGTAAAGATTGATGTTGGACCTCGGGCCTTGACAGAGGTTGAGAATGGTAAAGGACTGAGGATTCTTGGGCTATGGAGGTATTAGAGATTACATTGAAGACAATGTTTGAGGAATAATCACCTGAGACAGAGATAGTAGAGTGTAAGGACTCACTGTGCAAAGTTGGGAGACCCCAAAAGAGCTGGGTACATTTTTGCTGTAAATGGTCCTCAAAGTCCTTAGGATGTGGGGTCTTCTGATACACATGCAGCTCCTCTGGTTTGCATTTGCTGCTCCAAAAAGGAAGGGAGACTGCCACGTCATGCTTATCAGCAACAGACTCTGACATTTTCCCTGAAAAATTTAGTTGATAGTCTTGCTTAAGCTGTTTTGGATCAGATCCTGTTTTCTTTTTCTTTACCTTCCACATTAGGAAATCCCCTTTCTTTTTGATTTGTCTTTCTAGGAGTGCCCGAACATCAGAGCTTAGAAATGAGAGGATATCAGGCTCTACAAGGTTGTGTACAGGTTCTCCCTGAAAAAAGGACTGAGAAGAATGAAAGGCAAGAAACTCTTGCTCAATATCACATTGTGCCGAGGTGTGGGG